TTATGTGTTGTTAATTTCCAAGCTCTGTTCTAGGGAATGGATACGCACTTAGGGACAACGTAGTTCTGACTCTCCCCTTATGTCTCTTACAAACTAGCTAGGAGGAGACACGGAGCCAGAGAATTACAGAGATTATTCCAGGCAGAGCTGATGAGTACAGGGAGGACCTTAGTGTTCAGTGACAGGCAGTAAGCAGCACAGAAAGGACCAGGGAGCTCACTTAGTTTGGGGGTTTGGGACAGGCCGAGAAGCTTCTTGTTAGAAGGACGCTGATACCTCAGTGGCCAGGCTCAGTTCACTCCCAATTCTGGTTCGAACACTGAAAAGCTCGAGAACTGCACCGATTTTTCCCATAAGAAATAATGGGAAACACAGAACTGCTTCGGAGGCCCAGGCATTGCACGGGCCCTGAGTGTTGTGTGGGCGACAGTGGCGCCATCTTGTCTGCAGCAGGCTGACTCGCTCTCAGCCCATACAGGTTTTCCAGGTCAGACTTTTGCTTTGATTATAAAGGACACTGAGGTTTTTTCCCAAGTTCACTGTTTGAGTAGTGGAAAGGTCTATGGCCGTACCACCCTGAACGTGCCCGATCTCATCTGAGTAATGGAAAGCTTGAGCTTGGCCCCATTGACAACTGAGGTATCACTGTGTCATAATTTTCCTCAGGCTCATACGTCCTTTCCTTTTCTCTGTTTCATTTCAAGCCAGATGATCCTTCTCCCAATCACTCGGGCTTAGAATGTTCACGTATCTTTGACATTTTATGCTTTTCTGCCTCAACAAATGATCAGCTGTCCAGTGTTTTCTTGATTCAACAACTTCTTTCTCCTCTCCCCATGAATGATCAAGTTCCTACTCTCACACGTGAGTTATGTTCAGCTATACCTTTCCCCGTAGCTTTATTTTTTCTTTCATTCAGCAGATTCTGTAGCAAGCCCTTTCTGCTGACTCCTTAACATCAGTGTCATGGAAGTAGACAGAGTAAAGGAAATGATTCCAGCTTCCCCCGCTTTTAGTATGATATTGATTATGGGTTTCTCATATATAGCTTTTCTCAATTTAAAGAAAAGTCTTTGTATACCTATTTTCTTCAGAGATGTTTTTTAATCATAAAGAAAAGTGGAATTTTCCAGTGTGTTTTTGGCATTTGTTGAGATGACCGTGTGGTATGTTAGCTTTGGTATTATGTATGTAGTGTGTTATGTTTATCGATTTGTATATGTTAAACCAGGATGAAACCAACTTGATCATGATGTGTGACTTTTTTTGTTACTGTGTTGTTGAATTCTGAGTGCAAGAATCTTATTGAGCATGTTTACATCCATATTCTTCAAAGATACTGGTCCGTAGTTTCTTTTTTGTTGAGTTCTTATCTGGTTTTAGCGTGAGGGTAATGCTGGCTTCATAGAAAGAATTTGGAAACATTCCTTCCCTTTTTATTTCATGGAAAATTCTAAGGAGCATTGATGTTAACTCTTCTTTTAAGTCTGATAAAATTCAGCATAAAATCTATGGGGTCCATGGATTTTCCTAGTTGGGAGAGTTATTACTATTTTAATTTCATTACTTGTTCTTGATCTGTTTATATCTTTGTGGGTCAGTTTTGGGAAATCACTTGTGTCTAGGAACTTATCCATTTCTTCTAGATTTCTCAACTTATTGGAATATAAATTTTCAAAATAGTTTCTAATAATCCTCTGGGTCAGTGGGTATTGTAATTTAGCCTTTATTGTCTCTAATTTTATTAATTTTGTTTTTTTCACTTTTGTTAAGTTTGGCTAAAGATTGATCAGTCTTGTCTATCTTTTCAAAGAAACAATTTTTTGGTTCATTGTTTGTTTCGTTTAGTCTCCATTTCATTAACTTTGTTCTAATGTTTATTATTTGTTTTCTTCTACTGGCTTTAGGTTTGATTTGTTCTTTATTTTTCTAGGACCCTGAAATGCATTATTAGGTTGTTTATTTGGGATCACTCTGCTTTTCTAATGTGCTACAAACTTCCATTTTAGAACACTTTCATTGTGTCCCACCAATTCTGATATGTTGTGTTTCTATTATCATTTGATTCTAGGAATTTTTACATTTTTCCTTTAATATCTCCAATGACTCATAATCATTCAAATCTCCCTGTGTTTGTAGTTTCTATGGTTCCTTTGGTTCTTGGTTTCTAACTTCTTTCCACTGTGATCTGACAGGATACATGAGATCATTTCACAAACTGCTTGCTGTTTTTTAATGGCTTGTTGTATGACCGAAAACATAGCTCAGTTTGGAGAAAATTGTTATATGAGATGCTGCTGATACTCTGTAGGTGTCTGATAAGTCCATCAAATGTATTTTGAAGATAATATTTTCTTTCTAAAAGTAGCTAAGATATATCATTGAGTAAATATTTAATCCATATACAATTTCTTTCTGTGAAGCATATGAAATATATAGAAAAGCACAGTCTTCTCCAGTTTTACATTTGAGTCATAGCCACAACTATACAAATAAGTAATTTAAGATATGGTATAAGGTATGCAGTCAAAAATTGACTATAGGAATTTAAAAGAAGGATCGACTGAAATGGTCAGAAAGTGATTCATTTAAATAATGGTGTCTAATTATACTGTAGTGAAAATGGTAACTTTTGGAACACAGAACAAATATATCAACTCTTCTAATAATTATTCAATACTTAATATTCATGCTACTATTTCTGACTCTTTTGACTCTTTGCTCCATACTTTTACATTAAACTTCAAAATAGTCCCAGAAAGCAGCACTGTTACTGTTTCATCTATTTTGTTGATGAGGCATCTGAAGACAGTGCTTGGTACTTTGCCAGAGTCACACGACTTACCCAGAGCAGAGGCCGCCGGGGGCCGGGGGAAGGGGTCAGAGTGAGTGTGCTTCACCACCCCCGGTGGCTGCTAACTCTGACTCACCCAGAGAGGATTTCCACTTCGCCATCGGCTGACCTGTTCCTAAGAATACATTTGATTGGATTTACCATATTTTGATTTTATTTTATTTTTTAAAGTTATAACTTGCCCATACGTGCTGAAAGATTCTGATTGTTATTCTTTCATTTATTTCTGAGGGGCTCAGTCTTCCTTCCAGTAACAAGTCCTCAAAATCTTTATCTGTGAAATAAAGTTTGAAGGTTTTATCAGTTCCCAGACACTTCAAGAGTAATTCATTATTTTATAATAGAAAATTATACAGACTTCTGTTTTAGAGTTATTCATCTATGTTTATTCATCACCCAGAGGTTGTTTAATATGTAAAGAAAAGCCTTAAAATGACACAGGATTTTCCAACCTCAGGAATCCACCGTTTCAGAATAATTTGTAAAATAATTTCTACCGAAAATGTTTTAGATGTGTGTGTTGCTATGGTGTCATTTCTGTCCAAATCCCTTGGTCAATTATCAGGTTTCCTCTTCTTCCTTTAGCTTAAATTCCTTCATCAATAATAAAGCTTGTTTTGTAGACTGCATAATTACTGTTGGACTTATATGCAAAGGAAATATGTCTAAATATATGAGCTAAAACCTAGAATACAAATGCATATAAGATTAATCTATTTTGCAAAAATAATAAAAGGAGTCTGAAGAGATACAGATATAGATATAGCTGTAGCTATAGATATAGCTAGTGCTATAGATATAGATATAGATATAGGTTGGGTTTTTTTTAGTTTTTTTCCCTGAATCCAAACATTTTTCTCTGGTAAATTCTGAGGGCAAGTCTTCATCTATGTACTGAGCTGAAAAACCACAGGCAAATACTGTGCATAAGTGAAAGAATAAAGCTGAAAGTGTTTTACTTGACTTTAAGAGCACACAGGTGCCATTATTTCCTGTCCATGCCTATTTTTACACTTTAAAAATTTCTCCTTAAGACTTCTTCCCAGTGCTTTTTCTGTTCTTGGAAATATATACTTCTAATTTAGTACTTTCATGTGATAGAAATAGTTGAGAAATACCACAAGAGGTATGCCATTCTTGGTGCTGGAGGACAGAGGCATGCATTCTTGGCACTTGTAAAGTGTTAGCCTCTACCCCATGGCTGGCAGCGGAACCCAGGAGTGTTACTCGGGGTGTGAGGAGTGGTGCTTTTTCTGTCCGGATGGTCATGATTTCAGTGGAATCAATTCCAAGCCTCTGCTTCCGCAGAAGATTTTAGGTGTATGTTTGTGAACATCATTAATCCTGTAGCACTATACAGCGTTCCTTAAGCACGGCTAAACCAGTTCTTACTTTATAAAGGTCTGCTAAAAGTCCAACAGTAGCATATGAAAAATAGTAGATTGCCTCGCGTGTATCTTTTGACTATCTTTCCTGGAATTGTTCACCGGTTCCATTGTGGTCCCACTGAAACTACACACATACTCCTCAGACACCTAACTTTAATGCCATCTCTGGTTTACATGTCTCTCTTCCTGTGTTTTGTTTTTTGTTTTGACTGTTGTGTCTTTTATCAGCAGCACGTAACATGGACTGTTTACTTGCTACTTGTTGAATGAAGACCCTGGTGTGAGCAATGGGGATTAGTGAGGAAATTAATCCGAGGAGTATATGAAGTAATAAGGATGGCATGGTAGATTGTTTGGGACACGCAGTATGAGTGAAGCAACCTTGTTAGGGCTCTCAGATGGGAAAGGTAAGGCTACACTGAAGGTGGGAATGCTCCGGCTCCAGTGGGTGATAGCAGCAGAAACTAGCCTGCTCACCTGTGTAGGAAAGTAAGGAGAGGCGGATTTGCACACAATGAACACTTAGTTGATAGAGGCTCCTCGATGTTACAGTTAAAGAATTTACATTTTATTTAAAAGAGCCTCTGTAAATCTCCCATCTGAAAAACGCACAAAGTAACATTTCAAAGAATTATTTGAATGAGTTTATGCTTAGATAAAAGTTCCCATGTGTAAAGTATCAGCTTATGAAGTACTGGCTGTAGTCGCGGTTGTCAGCTGATCCTAAAGGTCTCTTTCTTTCTGTCTGTATCCCACAGGTTGTTATTTTGTACTTTGAGCCGAGTACGTTTCGCTGTGTTCTGCTAAGATGGGTCCGCCTTCTCGGCTTTGCCACTGTGTATGGAACTGTCACTCTGAAGCTTCACAGGTATATCACACCGGTCTTCGCTCCCGTCGAAGGATCGGGTTTGGGGGCTTAGCATGTAACTGTGTGCTGGATCGGCCATTTAACTTTTAATCTTAAGAATGTACATACAAAATCATCTATGTTTTTCAATTTCAAAGCAGTATTCTTTCCTTTTTTCTTTATTGGTATATTTTAGGTTTACAATACAGTTACGTTCATCACTGGGAGTCTTGTACCTTTACCTGATATATCTTGGTTCTTATTTTTTCCCCATTCCCCTGTCCTCCCTTCACCCACTCCACCTTTCCATATTTACAGAGACTTTGTTTCCATTTTTTTTCCTTTTCTCTTATTTATTTATTTATTTATTTGGTACCAAGCATTGAACTCAGGACCTTTTGCTTGCAAGGCAGGCGGCAGAACCACTGAGCTAAATCCCCGACTCTTATTTTTTTCTTTTCCCTTCTTAGCTTTCCCCTCCCCCTCCCCCTTTGCGTACACTTTTAGACTTTTTTCCTATTATACAATATCAATTATACAGTTTGATTCTTATTCACACTTTATAGCAGAGAAGCTATTCACATTTTATACATGTGTGTCCTGTTTATTTCACTTGAGTATGGCCTCAGTATGCATCCACTTAGCTATAAATGTCTCTAGTTTCTTGTTCTTATGTCTGAGTAGCACTCCATTGTATTAAAACACACACACACACACACACACACACACACACACATATCTTCTTTATCCAGTCTCCAGTTGATGAGCCATTAGGCTGTTTCCAAGATTTAGATATCACAAACTGTGCCGCTATAAACAGGGGTGCGCATATATCACTATTGTATGATTTTTTAAATTCTTTTGGGAAGATACCCAGCAGGGGAATATCTGGGTCAAATGGGACTTCTAATCCTAGTTGTTTGAGGTATCTCCATATTAATTTCCACAGTAGTTTCACCAGTCTGCATTCCTACCAACAAGGAAGAAGGGTTCCTTTCTCCCCACAACCCCACCAGCATTTGTTATTGGTTGATTTCTTGATAGCAGCCATTCTTACTAGGGAAAGATGGAATCTCAGTGTTGTTTTCATCTGCATCACTCAAATGGTCAGTGATGTTGAACATTTTTTCTATGATTATTTGCTGCTTTTACCTCTATGTCTGAGAAATGTCTTTTTGTTTCACATGCCCAGTTTTGAATTGGGTCTTTATATTTGGGGGGTCGGATTTTTTTGAGTTCTTTATATATTCTAAATAGTAGACCTTTGTCTGAGGTACAGCAGGTAAAACTTTTTCCTATGTTGTAGGTTGTCTCTTAGCTCTATTCGTGGTTTCTTTTGCAGTGCAGAAGCATTTTAAAATGCTGAGATCCAGTTGTTGATTCTTTGTACTAGTTCCCATGCTACTGGGGATTTGTTCATTGTCTTTTCCTATGCCATTGTCTTCAAGAGTTCTACCTAAATTATTTCCAGCAAGTTTAGTGTTTCTGTTTTATATTTATTTTTTAATCCACTTGGATTTTAGTTTAGTGCATGGTAAAAGATAGGGGTCTAGTTTTAATCTCCAGCAAGTTGAAATCCAGTTTTTCCAACACCATTTATTACAGAGGCTATCTTTTCTACCGTAAGGATGGTTGGCTCCTTTGTCAAAAATGAGGTAGCTGAGTGTGTCTGGAGTTGTTTCTGCATCTTCTAATCTATTCCACTGATCTGCAGGTCTGTTTCTTTGCCAGCACCATGGTGTTTCTCACAGTGGCTTTGCAGTATAGTTTCAAGTTGGGGATGGTGATCCCCCCTGCCATGTCTCTGTTGCCTAGAATTGTTTTTGCTATTCTAGGTCTCTTCTGGCTCAAAATGAATTTTTTATTGTTTTTTATAGTTTTATGAAATATACTGTTGAGCTTTCAATTGAGATTGCATTGAATTTGTATAGCGGTTTTGGAAGTATGGCCATTTTCACTATATTGCTTCTTCCTACCCAGGAATAAGGGATGTCTTTCCATTTTCTTAAATTCTCTTCAGTCTCTTTTTTTCAGTGCTGTAGTTCTCAATGTAGAGGTCTTTTGTTTCCTTCATTAGATTGATTCCTAGATATTTCATTTTTTGAGATGCTATTGTGAAAGGGATTGTTTTTCTAATTTTTCTCTCCGTGAGTCTGTTATTTGTGTACAAGAAGGCTATTGATTTTTAAGGGTTGACCTTGTATCCAGCTACTCTGCTGAATCTGTCAAGTAAGTCTAGAGGTCTTTTGGCAGAGTTTTTTTGGGTCTTGTGTGTAGAGTATCATATCATCAGCAAATAATAACAGTTTAACTTCTTCCTTTACTATGTTTATTGCTTTTATTTCTTTCTCTGGTATGATTGCTGTGGCTAATGTTCCCAGAAATATATTGAACAGGAGTGGTGACAGTGGACGTCCTTGTCTTGTTCCTGATTTTAGTGTGAAGGTTTTCAGCTTCTATTTATTATGATATTGGCTGTTGGTTTTTCTTTTCTTTTTTTCTTTTTATTGAGTTTCTTGGTACAATCTAGGTATACATTACAGTTACATTCATTACTGGGATCCTGTGCCTTCACATGACAGGTCTTGGTTCTCATTTTTCCCCTTGTCCCTGCCCTCCCTTCACCCTGTTGGTTTTTCATAGATACCCTTTATCAAGTTGAGATAAAGACCATCTATTCCAATTTTCTGTAGGGTTTTTTATCATGAATAGGTGGTGAATTTTGTCAAATACTTTTTCTGCATCTATTGAGAGGATCATATGGTTTTTGTCCTTGACTCTGTTAATATAGTGTATTACAGTTATTGATGTATGTGTGTTGAACCATCCTTGCCTCCCTGGGAGAAATCCAGGTTGGTCAGGATGTATGATCTTCTTGATGATCCTCTGTATTCTGTTTGCTAGTATCTTATTAAGGATTTTTGCATCTATATTCATTAAGGAGATTGGCCTGTAGTTCTCTTTTTTAGTTGTATCTTTCCCTGGTTTGGGAATCAAAGTGATACTTGCTTCCAGGAATGAATTTGGAAGTATTGCTTCCCTTTCAATTTCACTGAAAAGTTTCAAAAGTAGTGGTATTGGTTCTTCTCTAAATGTCTTGTAGAATTCAGCAGTGAAGCCATCAGGACCTGGACTTTTCTTTGTTGGTAAATTTTTAATTATGTTTTCAATTTCACTGATAGTAATTGGGGTGTTTAAAATTTTTATATCTTCTTCATTCAACTTTGGTAATTCATATGTATCTAGAAATCTGTCCATTTCTTCTATATTTTCTATTTTATTAGAGTACAAGTTCCTGAAGTAGGTATTGGTGATCCTCTGGATTTCTCCTGGATGTTTTGTGACTTCACTTTTTTCATTCCTAATTGCATGTATATGAGCCTTTTCTTTCCATTTTTGATAAGGTTGACTAAGGGTTTATCAATTTTATTTATTCTTTTGAAAAACCAGCTCTTTAATATGTTGAATTTTTTGGGTATTGTTCTCTTACTCTCCATTGCATTGATTTCTGCTCTGATCTTTATAATTTCCTTCCTTGTATAAACTTTAGGCTTCTCTTGCTCTTCTTTTTCTAGAAGCTTAAGATTCACCATTAGGTTGTTTATTTGAGCTCACTCTGTTTCTGTAGTGTGGGCATTCACTGTTATGAATTTCCCTTGTAGAATTGCTTTCATTGTGTCCCATAGATTCCTGTATGGCGTATCGGCATTGTCATTAAATTGTAAAAACTTTCTAATTTCTTCTTTAATTTCTGCTGTGACCCATTGGTTATTCAGGAAAGTGTTATTAAATTTCCATTTACTTTTAAAGTTCTTGTGGTTTCTTTTGCTGTTGATCTCCAGTTTAATTGCACTATGGTGTGATAATATACGTGGTATAACTTCATTTCCTTTGCATTTACTTAAACATGTTCTGTGAGCTAGTATGTGGTCTATTTTGGAGAATGATTCATGTGTAGCTGAGAAGAATGTATATTCTGATTTTGTGGGGTGGAATACTCTGTAGGTATCTATTAAGTCCATTTGTTCAAAAGCTTGGTTGAGTTCTAGTATTTCATTGTTGATTTTTTTGTGTAGATGATCTGTGTATTTGTGACAGTGGGGTATTGAGGTCCCCCACTACAATTGTATTAGTGCTTATTTGGTATTTCATGTTCCTTAATATTTTTTTTTTGTATAGCTGGGGGCTTTAGTGTTTGGTGCATATATATTTATGATTATCATCTCTTCCTGTTGGATTGTTCCTTTTACAAGGATGTAGTGACCTTCTTTGTCTCTCTTAATTAGTTTTGGTTTGAAATTCACTTTGTCTGCAAATAAGATAGCTACCCCTGCTTTTTTCCAGGTTCCTGTCACATGGAGAAATGTTTTCCATCCTTTTATCTTCAGTCTTATGAGTTTCTTTTTCAAGTCAGTGTGTTTCTTATATACAGCATATTTTTGGATTTTGCTTCTTAATCCATTCTGCCAGTCTAATTTCTTTTGATTGGTGAATTGAGGCCATTAATTTTGAGGGTTATAACTAATATGTACTGACTTATCATCATCATGTTATTTTCCTCTTGTTGGTTCTTTTTAATTTTTCCCTTTCTCTCTTTAATTTCTTGCCTTGCCTGCTGGAGTTTCTCTGTTGGGCCTCATGGATTTGTGATCTTCATTGTTTTTTCTAGGATATTATTTCAGATTGTTTATTGTGCTGGTTTGGTATTCATGAAGGTTCTCAGGTGTCCTTTCTCGTGTAAATATCTTATTTCCCCATCAATTTTGAAAGAGAGTTTTGCAGGATACATCAGTCTAGGCTGGAGGTTGTTTTCTTTTAGGGCTTGAAATACTTCATTCTAGGTGCTCCTTGACTTGAGGGTTTGGGTTGAAAATTCTGCTGTGATTGATTCTGGTGGGTTCTTCTTCGCTTGAAATACTTCATTCTAGGCGCTCCTTGACTTGAGGGTTTGGGTTGAAAATTCTGCTGTGATTGATTCTGGTGGGTTCTTCTTTGCATGTGATTTGTTTCTTTTCTCTAAT